CATATAGTTTTATATTTATTTATTATGTGGATTTTTGAGAAAATACAAAAGCTCATGAATGACATCAGTTTTTTAATTGAAGTTAGCAATTTTTTATTTACTGCAGTTTTAGACGAGTTAGGATCATGAAAATTTATACACATGTTTGTCAAAACCTAGGCCGCAAATGACAAAAATTTTATGTATAGTTATTATGTGTAGTTTTGCGCAATTAGTAAAACAGGTGTCCGAAAACTTTTGTCTAGGGTGTGTATATATATATATGTATGTATGTATGTATAATTAATTAAAACCGTTAATAATCATTAATGAAACTTTAATCAAAAATCAACAAATCTTTCTTTAAGTTAACTGGCATTTTGTTAATAGAAAGAAGTCCATTATACGAATTCATTTTTGTTTGAAAATATTAAATAAATATCACCGAGTTAATAAATTTGCTTGATACAACTTTCTAATTCACCCAGTGATATATATATTATAAAAAAAAATTAATACTTTTCTATAAACAAATTCTAAAAATAAATATTTAAAGCTTGGAAATTAGAACTTACTATTGCATTAGTTATTATTATGTAAAAAAAAAATGAAGTCGAAAGATTGAATTGTGCATATCCAAATTTCTTATAGAACTTATAGGGCTGGTAGACCAACTTCACATTAAGATTTTCTTTGAGTCTTATTTGTTTACCCTGGCAAAAAGTATGTCAAAATAAAGGGTTTTCCATATATTTCGATTTTTTATAATTCAAGGAACGATCTTGGTTAAATTGGGTAGGTTTGTGTATACCAGAGTGATTTTTTTCTTCAATTTTACATATAAAATTATGCACGAAGATCATTAATTTTATATATGAGTGACACTTGACCCCCTGTAGATCTGCAATGTCCTGCGACTGCTATGCTGATTTTACCAACATAGCGGGCTTTATCTGTGATTGGTTGATCCATAAAGAAATTGATTGGATAATTTTATAATATGCTGATCATTATTAAAACTTTTTAATATTGCTTTCAAGACAATAAAATAAATATATTCTTAACAATATTTTTTATTGTAATTGGTGGTAAATAATTCAGCAAAAACATTAGGCGAAAACTCTTACTATAATTACTATGTAATAAAGTACAC